GGTAGCTGAGTAATTTTTTTTATGTCCAAATGAGCTGAAATGTTCACAAATTATTAGTAGACTTAAGTTTATTACACTATAAAAGGAATTTCATACCATTAAAACGAAGAAATTGATCTTTAAAATCATTTGAAAACTGCATCAAAAGTAAGACAGAAGACAGCAATGATTTTGTTTTGTTTAGCAGATTTTGGATATGGTTTTCCTTTTTCGATTTTGGAATTCAAATGTGGCAGTGCACGTTACAAAACGCATTCAAAAGACATAGCAAAACCTGCCCTGTAYTTGCCTTTTTATTCATTACTTGGTCGCGCTAACCACTTGATACCTAGTGGAGGTTTAATGCAGCGGCCTGATCGAAACGAATTCCAAAACTAACGTGCATAGCATTTTCCTGTAAAATTCATAACCTCCTCCGACTCCTTTGACTAAATATAAGAAGCAGGAAATTGAAAAGGTCTTAATAATTATCATAAAGTTGGTATGTTTATTAACTTTCGAACTTTATTCGGTCGAATGATTTTTCTGAGAATTTAACTTAGATTAATACCTCAATATAAATCTAATATATCCTTTTTTATATCAACTTTTCAATCTTTTGGTACTGCCATTGTATCAGTTTAAAATACATACATTAAATAAGTCGCAAATTTATCWAATGGAACTTTCTAGAATGCATTACGTAATTGTTTGTATTTGGAATGTCAAAAGTATATAGATATTTATGTCTAATTTACTGGATATGTGTAAACTGTTACGAAGAAACAGTGATAAATTAAGCAAACGACTTTTATCAGTTTGTGCATGRRATTTTTGGKGGTWTWTATAAGTTACGTAGATTTTACTTTTCCGCATTTTTTGCATATCTCTTGTTTGCTATCCAAGATTATTTGTTTTCTTGGTTGTTGTTTTTTTTTCGCAGAATAGATAAATTCATAAATAGATGCAATATAAAATGATAAATTGATTCCTTATGTAGCTTTAATGTGCCATTTGAGGTGAAGATATCATTAAATTGGAATTTGCATTGTTGCACCTCAACAACTCTGAAGAACAATACTCAAAAGGGCTGATATATAATAAAATACGGTGAACGCTTGCTTCAAAAGAAATGAACGATTGAATTCCATAAGCCACTGTGTATACAGAACTCCATAATGATAGGAATAGACCTCCGCAGCTTTTACGTCATGTACCGTATACGCAATGCATTGTAGGACATGTTTGGGACAAAACATGGCGGATTTCGGTTGTTTTCTCTTGAAACTTATCCCACAATGCATTGAAAATCAAGTAGTGACGTAAAAGGTTCAGAAGTCTATTGGAAATCAAAATTTTTACGAGGTGTTTATTTACATAGACACGTCCATGGCAGAGATTGTTACGTTTCAAAAGGTTTCAAACATCGACCACAATGTTTAATCAACCAGTAATTATTCTTTTGAAAACTTGTAGYTCAGTAAAGCCAAGCTGTTTTATTCAAAACTGGGTACTATTTAAACAATTTCTTATTAACATTGCACTAAATAATTAATATAAGAACGAAGTGTATACGAATAATCGTCGGGATTAATTTGCATAACAATAAACTCCCCTGAGGTTTCCAGTACATGACGATTCTTTGGTTCCCAGTCCTCTCCCTGCTCGTAGCACGGTTAATGCATTTAAACTTTATATTTGTTGAAAATAGTTGTTCTTTTCCAGTTTCAGATTATTCGTCTTGTTGTTGTGTATCATTGCCGTTGTGCAATGCCAATATACGCCACACTCTTGTGGTGGAATTGGAGACACGACCAATATTGGAATATCAAGTCAAGGTCTTCCTGGAAATTCCAACTTTGACGAGTTCAATCAAGTTTGCTATGGTACGTAAGTGCTCGAACTAAATTGTAGACGATGTGGCTGGTGCTGTTATAATTTGAGACAAGAGTATGACTTGAGCCCCGCTGCTGTGACCTGATTGGATGATGCTGTCTTCAGCTCTTTATCGCGTTCTATGCAAACCGGGCACATTAATAATGATATGCAAGGAATACGTAACAAGCAAGTCCATATTATCCTAGCTATTGTCAATTACCCCTAACTAGAGAGACGAAGAACATGGATCCTGGAAGAATCCAATGTAGTCTTTGCTGGAAAGCGGGCGGCGTGCGCACCAGCTATTACTGAGCCTGACCCGTGGTTACATGTAGATAATTAAGCGAGGAAAGCTCGTCGAGGGGCTGATCTTTAGCCCCACTCACCCTGGATGCCAACGCCTTAGGACGTTTTATCTTTGGATTTAATTCATTGTTATTAATTCCTAGAGAACAAAGGAGGTTAATCATTCCCAATTCTTAATTATCGATGGGGACCGGCAATGGCCGGTTTGGATTTTCTATAGTCTGCGTAGGGTCGCTACGCTATAACACTGTCTGAATGACTGTTTACACGACTTTCAAAAATGGCGGTAGTTCATGACAGCCAATATGGGGGGACTAGTGATGAGTTATGGAAACGAGACCTTAGAGGCCCTACGCAAAAAAAAAAAATATATATATATATAAATAAAAGCAATAACACCACGAAGATCGCATGTAGGTAGTGTTAAAGTTTGAAAGATGCATTGGTTTCATTAGTTTCCCTATAAAATAAGCTTACCATTTTATTGACAAGAATTAACGTTCCGAAATGTATTTTCAAATAGGAAGCATCAAGAAGTCTCTCAAAGAACTAAATGACAGCGTCATCGAAAAAGAATCGTATGTTAAGAAATTCGCCGTAGCCATTGACCAGTTGAAATCCCTCTGCTCCACCATAAAAAGAGTCTATTCTTTCAACACGACGTTCCAAAACAGTTTGAGTTCTCTCGACCAGATTCTTAAGGAAATGGATTATATATCGAAGTTTAGTGTGATCGTTCCAGCTGTTGGTAAATTGCGCGCACTTGTTATGAAAAAGATCCTGCCCATGGCCATGGAAGCGTTAGAGTATGCATATATTGGTGTCAGAAACGTTATTGTTTCTTTGAGAAGATTCTTAGGGCAAACGTACAGCGATAGTTTGGAAAATCTTCTTATAGAAATAAACAAAAAAGGTAAATAATTAAAAGCCGATTTGCGAATTTCGCCTCAGTAGTCAAACACAAAAAGATCAAGACGAGGCGCCTTACGTAAAGCTCAGTCAATTGTGAAAAACTATTTTCTTTTCACGAATGAAAGAGCTTTATACACGTTGACTTGTCTTGATTGCTTTGTGTGTGACTGCTGAGGCAAACTATTGATCTCCTTTGCTAGCTATTGAGGTCGGAACGTCTAGAACTAGGGAGCGGGACACATTGCTTTTGCTTTTCCTGCGCCACTTAACATTTTTTTATGCACTGATTTATGTACAAATGAAGGAGCTAAGCACTAAGAATAATTCTCGCGATGCATCTTTAGAGGATTAATTAGTAGCAATCGAGAATGCGTTATTTTGTGGTTGGGCCTCGGATAGGCACATCAAAAAATTGCAGAAAACTTTGGACTGGTTTTTGGCGATTTTATCGACTTTGTAAATCTTGAAATCGTCTGAAACTTGTAGATATTATAGCGAAAATACTTCTGAACAATCCGCCATTTTGTTTGTTTTGATATATGGCACACACGAATGATATACAATACTCCAGTTTCGAGAACTTATTTTTGCAGACATAACATCGCAATATATTCTTTTATTCAGCAGAGGATTCCTTTTGTAATGTAAACGACGCCATGTGTACAAAGACGACAATAAGAATTTATGCTTGTTTGAAGCTAAGCTCGCGCAAAACAGAATTCGAAACTGGAGTATTCTTTGATTGTTTTGATTCCAGAGAAGAACAGTCACAGTCATTGTCATATGGAGAAACGTGCAGATGACTTAGATAAAGGATTTAAGAACGATGAAAAAAATGGTAATGATTGTTCTAAACTTTTCTGTTTGAAGGTCCCAAAGTGTGTGTAGACTCAACCTCGATGGGAAAAAGCCTTAGCAACGAGAAGGTTGAGCTTATGTCCACCTCTGAATCCTCCATAGTCCTACTACAAGCCATGTTTGAAATACAGGAATGTGCCAACAAGGAGTGCCCTTCTAGGAATCAAACTTGCTTTGATTGCTGGAAATTTAATAACAGTTTTGGAAATGTTCTTTATCTAATTCAAAGATGGAAAGAAGGTATGCAGTTGTGCTCTATAAAGATGGATAAATTCATTGATCGTTTAAATGTGACAGCTAAGATCAACGCCATATTTGACACTGCTTTCAACACAACAACAGAAATTGACCAATTTCTCAAAATCGTCTTAAGAAGTCTAGCAAAATCTGCGAAATCAATAGATCCACTTGAAAAACATCTCCTCGCGTGCTGCCCATGTGCACGACCGAATCGAATGCTGTGTGACCAAGAGGCTATCAAGAATTCTACCCGTTCAATAACTTGCCCCTTGGAGCTCCTAGTCAATTTTAAAATTTTCGATTTACTTCAATCTGTTGATAAGAATGTTGAAAAGCTCAGAGTTACGCTTTTTTCGGATGTCATTTTGGATAACTACATTCCACCCACGAGATTTGAAATAAATGTGCCTAAATATTTCCAGGAATGTTTTGGAAGCTCCAGTTTCAAAAGGAAGTTTACAAAGCTGTGTAGCCTCCCAACCGTGGCAACAACCCTGAGGTTTCGTTCACTAATTTATCCTATCTTAAAGCATTCATTCATCGCTCAAACCTACAGTTCTTTACAAGTGGATATTGATCAGTCCTGCACTCAAGTCAATGAATCATTCGAACACTTTGGAAGGACAATGACCGAGTGTGATGGCCGAATTGCCATGGCGATATCCAATTGTAAAAAACATTCTTATGATCCAGATCCTGGGGTTGATTATTGTCCCTGCCAAATACCAACAAAATTAGCAGATGAAAAGCAACCTTATTGCGTTGTCTCGAAAAGATCTGTACTTATGAACTGTTCATCCCATTGTTTAAATAATGGCTTTAAACCAGGAAAAAATCCGACCGGTGACAACGCCAAAATGAACAAAACGTACGGGTATCCCGTGTGCGATAATCTGAAATACTACTGCAAGATTTCAGATGTTAGCGTAAAGAATGGAAATGTGAAATGTGATAGCGAGTACATATTTCACAACAGGACATGTCAAATTGTCCCGAATCCGGGATTTATTTGTCCTGTTCATATGATCGAGTGTAGTCCTTTTGGTTATCCAATTAAGGGAGTTTGCTGGAATTATCCTGTCGTTGAATGTGTGAAAGATGATGTTAAACGCTATTCCGCCTGTACTTGTAACAACAATTACAAATTCAACACTGGTAAAATATTGTGCCAATATGGGAACTTCCAAGGCGTGGCACCAACTACAGATTCTGCCCTGGAGCTGCGGAAGACTTTTAATTGCTTTGAGCGGCTTGGTCTGGATGAAGACATCAAGAAAGACTGTGGTGCTTCAATGAGCCCATGTGTCATCCAGACGTCCATCGTGAATCCTTACAAAGGATGCAAGTATGCCTCCAACACCAACCAAGACTCCAATAATATAGGCTATATTCTTGGTGGTTCCTCTGGGGGAGTTTTGATAGTGTTCGTATTAGCCATTATGTATAAGTATAAAATTTTAAGATGTCCTGAATAGTATAAGAAAAGCAAGACATTTCCTTACAAAAATCCTAATGATAATTAATAAGGTACATATTACACACCTATCTGACAAAAAAGTTTTCGGGTGACAAAAAGGTGATATCAAGCTAGGACAGGAATAGTGATTTTGTTGTAATGGCATCAATAATTCTACGTATAATGATAACTAAGCTGACTGAAAGCTGGCTGATTTGATGGATAGTCATCGAAGTCTAGCAGTTTTATTGTAAAACTTCGATCCATTATTGTTAAATAACCGAATTTCAAAGATTTGTTATTTTTGAAATTTGAAATAATGTAGTTACATGTAGTTTCATGTGTGGTACAACCTCCTACAGTTAAGACAACCATCGTCTTGGTTTTGACTAGAAATTTGATTGAAACAGGATATTGGAATAGGTTTATAATGATGTTCAATTAGGACTGACCTAATAGCACTTGAATCACTATATGACTCATTGTACCTAATTGCGGGCCAAAACTGAGGGCGTAATCTAGATCGTATTAGAAAGTGCAGACCAAATAGGGAAAGTGCTTGAGTTTGGAACTTCTACTACACAAACACTCCAACTGCGGAAAGTCTTTCTGGTCGAGCTTCCTCAACCTCAGCTTGTGTCGAACAAATTAATCATACACTAGTTTGTAATTAATTAATTGATTAATTACCATATCAAAGAATTGCCCCACAAACGTTGTCCTTCGTTTAGCAGCCATATATGGTAATCTTACCTTATTTGGAAGTTCGATTGGAATGGTTTTTGTCGATTTTCTCGACTTTTAAAGCTTGAAATCGTCTGAAACTTGCAGATACTATAACGAAAACACTTCTAAACAATCCGCCATTTTGTTTGTTTCCATATATGGCATGGATTCGCTAAAGGAAGCCCAAAAAAAAGCACAGGGAACCCGCACGAATGATATACAATTCTTTGATATGCATAACTGTGCTAAATAGCATTAGCTGCGTCCAAGGCTTAGTATTTAGCTTTAATTTTCTTACTTAACTGCACATGACAACTTCCTCCTATATTCTGTAAATTTATTATAGCTTAGTAACTTTGGTACATATCGATTTTTTGAAAGAATTTTTCTAAGCTTAAAAATATGAGAACATATCTTTTCTTTGATGACTTCGGTATATTGTAATACACGTTGTAGACAAAGTACTTTATCATACTGCTCTTGCTCTTTATAGACGATTAAGAAATCGAAGAGATATTCTACTTGGTTCGGGATCACGAGTAGAATGAAGTAGTGATCGATTTAAGCTTAGAGATGATATCTGAGGCTATTTTTGTTCTCGTGCGATTGAATGCTCACTCGTAAATAGCTGTTTTGATATCGAGTTTAAAGCAATAGAAGAATCATTAACGATAGAATTTGTTCTCTCGCAATATTCGCTCGTAACATACCGCTCGAAAGTAATCTGTCTCCAAGTTTGGGGAAAGTATCGTCCCAAAATGAACAGACACATTCTAAACGCTTGTCCGCCATTATTGTAGTTGACCATGCGGTTTCATTTCATTTACGCATGCTACTACTATCATAGCTTTGTACGCATGCGCTCATTTTGGTTATTTTGTCGCTGAAGGAAAAAAACACTTACGATGTTGAGTGGAAAATCAGAATGATCCTTTCCATTTGAGCGTGCCGTCACACCATAAACATTCATTAAGTTTTGATAACATATTTGCAGCAGCGGACCTTCCTGATGACTGGCATCTTGAAAACTCGATTTTCGCATTCAAAGCGAATAACCGCCGCCTTATTTGACAACAGATTTCTCATGTGCAAAGACCTTTCCGAAGAAAGAAGAAAGCACAAGAAAAAGATGTAATTACAATAGCCCTGACAATTTGCATTTTCCCCGAGTTGAGGCCAACCTTGTATTCCTAGAAGTCTTATACCTTTGGCCTTTTGGGAATACAGGGTTATTCTCAACTCTTAGAAAATGCCAATTTTCAAGGCTATTGTAATAACAACATTTTCTCATGCTTTCTTTTGTGTTTGGTAAGGTCTTTGTGAACGCGAATATGATTTCAAATAAAACAGTGGTCATTCGCTTTTTGAAAATGCAGTAACTATAGCCGTCAGAATGAGGTTCGGTTTCACTTTCTGTTGATTTTTTTTTTACTTCTGGAAAAGATGTATAACTTCGTATAACTTTTGAAAAGCAAACAATGTAAAAAATGGCGTTTTGCAAAACTTCACTGGAAAAATCGCGCGCTTTAAAGGTTGTAAATTTGATGTAAATATGGTGTAAGTGTCCAAAATTCTGTAAATTTAATGGGTAAATTTGATGTAAATATGATGTAAGTGTCCAAAATTCTGTAAATTTAATGGGTAAATTTGATGTAAATATGATGTAAGTGTCCAAAATTCTGTAAATTTGATGTGAATGATACATCATATTTACATCAAATTTACAAACTTTAAAGCGCGCGATTTTTTCCTTTGACTTTGGCTTGGGGTGAACATAATTAATAGAGAAGAAATTCCCTCTACAAGCTGTATGGGGTGAATGATCACTCTCGCACAACCTTCAATGCAAATATATTTTATTTCTTTATTCAATTATTTTAACAGTAAATTAGTGTATAGAATTTATTATTTATTTATAAGTCTTGTGAGTGTGTTTCAAATAGCTCTCCATTTCCTGTTCAGTAACTCCTTTACTGT